AGGCCAGAAGTTTTCATTCTCAGCTGTACAATCAAACCACTTGGAAGCTTTTTAAATATATGGACCTCCAGACTTTCCTTTCTGAGGATTATGATCCAGTCAATCAGGGCTGAGGCCCAGACTCCTGTGCTATTTAAAGTTCCTCTGGGCCAGGCGAGGTGGCTCACACCTGTAATCCCAGCACTTTGGGAGGTCAAGACCGGTGGATCACTTGATGTCAGGAGTTTGAGACCAGCCTGACCAATATGGTGAAACCCCATCTCTGCTAAAAATATAAAATTAGCTGGACATGGTGATGCATGCCTATAATCCTAGCTACTCAGGAGACTGAGGCAGGAGAAGCACTTGAATCCAAGAGGCAGAGATTTCAGTGAGCCAAGATCGCGCTGTTGCACTCCAGCCTGGGCAAGAAGAACAAAACTCCATGAAACAAACAAACAAAAAACCAAACACTCTTCTGGTGATTCTGATGGGGAGAAGGGTTGAAAACCTTTATGAAGGAAGACCAGTAAGACCTTCATGAAGGAAGGGAGCCTAATGGGTTGTGTCATCAGAAACACCTTAGTGGGTTTGGTTCAGTCTCAGCTGAGGGCAACAGTGGATTTCGATTCCATCACACAGGATGATGAGGGAGTCCCTGAGCCAGCTCTGCCACTACCACCAAGGAGTGGGAGGTTCACTGGTGAGGCTTACGGCTTAGGAGGGTTCAAACCCACATCTAAGGGCTCTTGAACCTTAGGAAAATTGCTCAGTTTATGTAAACCCAATTTTCCTCTTTCTGGAAGTAGGTAAATAACGGTGCCTACAACATTGGGTAAAAGTTACCCATGTCTGACACACAGTAAATTCTCAGTGAATATTAACTACTATTATCTTGTTCCATTTGTCATACATGTCATGGTTTGCCACTAGTTCCTAATTTAAAGCACAGCTAAAATCCATGACATCACCTACTTTCAGAACTACAAGGTTACCTGGATACATTTCTCTCTGAAAAAATGGGGAAGGAAACCCAGCTCGTGGTCTCTGAGTCTACAGACCCATGGACGTGGGCTTCAGGACTGAGACCTCTTTTCAGCAGGTCTGTGAGGCATTCTCCCTATCTGTAGACCGGAGGTTGTCCTGGCGCAGGCTTGAACTTCACCTCATCAGCGTACAGTCCACAGGAAAGATGTGTATGTCTCAGGGAGGATTGAGATCCACCCCTTCTGGCAGGGGTGGATGCTGAGGTCCTGAGGCAGGGATTAATGAAGAGCCCTGGAGACTGAAGACAGGAGTGGCACCTGGCAGGAAGGACACTTGTCATTAATGGCTCTGGCCCCAGCACTGCTGTGTGGAGAGCTGCAGGAGGAGCTGGGGCACCTACGTGGTGACCAGCCCAGGGCCCTACCTCAGGGCCAGGGGCTGGATATGGTGTCTAAAGACCACTGAATGAGACTGTGCAGGTCCAGGACTGCAAGTGGCTGGAGTTGCATCATCTGTGTTAGCAGGTTGAAAATAATTTAGATCACACAAACCTTGTTCTGTGACCATAACTGAGTCCAATTAAAAATCAAGAGCAGAATAATAAGAAATTCTCCAATCACTTGAAAATTAAACTCCCTACTGCTCAATGATCAATGGGTCATTAAATACTTTTTGAAATTGTTGTAAAAGTGTCTGTGTCCGGCCCTGGGCTGTGAGGTGCGGGCAAACAGGGACAGTGGATAAACCCTTCTCTACTCCTGCCTCCTGCTGAGATGGTTGGGGATAATACTCTTTCGCTTCCTGGAGGCCATCTGGTTTGTGGAGAGGATCAGAATCTGTGAAACGCAGCATCAGTCTCTTGCATTACAAGGCCTGGGATGACAGCCTCCTCCTCTCTTTACGTTTTCTTCTTACAGCCAACTATGGACGCATTGGGATGCCTGGAGTCATGCATTCTGTGATCACCTCCGTATCACTGGCACTGAACTAGGGCAAGGGCCTGTCTTCTATTTCACTTTCATTTCTAGGTTTCTCTCCATCCAAGGTGAGAGATTTGAGATGGAATGACCCGTAGACAGAGCTTGGACATCAGCCTCAATTGCCCTATCATCATGAATGTGATGACTGTCATTCCTACCTGCAGGACTGCCAACTGCTACCTGAAGACAACCAGCCCCAAATGTGTAGTCATCCCCCCATGTCCTGCCAGGATCCAAGCCAAGCTGTTCATGCTTTTGGTAGTTCTCCCTGTATTTTCTCCATGTATTCTCTTGTCTTCAGCTAGATACTTGTCCAATTATTCTAGAGTGCAACTCACAGGGGCCCAACGTGGCAACAGTGATGCTTCATTTATTTATTATACTTTAAGTTCTGGGGGTACATGTGCAGATCGTGCAGGATTGTTACACAGGAATAAACATGCCATGGTAGTGGTTTGCTGCATACTGGTGCTTTTTCTGTGTTTCTCTCTGTCCTTCTTCCTTCTTTTGCACTGATTGGAATGTGTTTAATCTCATTTTTTCCTGTAGCAGTCTAAAACTTATATGTGTTCTTGATATTTTGATGCATAAATATGATCTTAATTTTCCTTACCAAAAAAAAAAATCTTTGATTACAGATACCAGGTGAGTTAATACTAAACTACAATTTATGATCTATCCTAGGCCTCTAGGAAGTGAAAGAGCATTGTCCCCAACCATCCCAGCAGACATCGAGAATTTTCATCCCATTGAGGAATTACCCAGGGGATAGTCCCTCAAATGATACCTTGTCAAATAATGTCCAGCAGTGATTTCCTTTGAGCGGTGCTCTGAACCTTCAGTTTTTCCCTGCTTGGGTCTTGACCAAGACAAGCTTTCATGGTGGCTGTCGAAAGTCACCTGGTATGGTCACTCTAAACAAATTGGAGTCTCATCTGCTGCCAGCATAGCCACCATGGAGTCCTGTGTGCTTCACTGAGCCAGGACACTGGAAGGTCAGTGATGATTCTCTTGGGCTCATTTACCGAAGGAAGTCTGTTTTTGATTACCGGATGCCCCCTCTTCCTGAGCCTGTTGCCTCTCTAGGAAGTGTATGGCCTCCTCAACAAAGGGACCAGGGCCATCTCTAAAGAGATGTATATTTTCTGCTACCCACGTGCCCATCTTCCAGTTCCTAGCTCTGAATCTTTTCCCTTCTCCTTCCTTTCAGGATCTTAAGACAATGAGTGCGGGCTGCGGTTTGGGGAAGGTGTTGTGGGGAGGGCCTTATGATGACTTTATGTATGCATTTATTTGAGACAGAGACTCGCTCTGTCGCCTCGGCTGGAGTGCAATGGCACGATCTCAGCTCACTGCAACCTCCGCCTCCCAGGTTCAAGCAATTCCCCCCGCTCGGCCTCCCGAGTAGCTGGGACCACAGGCTCACGCTGCCACACCCAGCTAATTTTTTGTATTTTAGTAGAGATGGAGTTTCATCATGTTGCCCAGGCTGGTCTTGAACTCCTGAGCTCAGGGAATCCACCTGCCTCGACCTCCCAAAGTGCTAGGATTATGGGCATGAGCCACTGCACCCAGCCTTCATTATGATTTTTGTAGGTCACAGGTATTATTGTCTTCATGGGCCACTTCTCCATAAGAACATGATAAACACTGTATTTTATAACTGCATTGGTCAAATGATGTGTATATCTCTGGCTAGATTCATCGATAAATATTCATCATTATTATTATACTCACTTTAGAAAATGATTTTTAAATTATGACATTTTCATGGATTCTTATAAGGTTCGTGGGCCTTAATCTCCGCACCTGCCTTGCCTGATAGAAGGGTCAGCCCTGGTGGAGGCGAGTTGTCTTGAGAAACAGGGTCTTCCTGGGTGAGGGGATGGCCCTGCAAAGAAGAGGGATAGGCTGAGGTAGGAGCAGAGCAGGTGGCAATAACTACCCCTGGTGACAGGAATCCTGGGGGCACAACGTGAAGGAGACAAGTTCCTTTTAAACATTCCCTGCTGTACTGGGGCCCTGCACAGTGCTCTCGCTCCCCTCCACCCTCGTGGCCATCACAGCTCACTCTGGGGCAGGAGAGGATGGACCCCGTTCCCACTGCAGGGACAGGACTGAGGACATTGAAAATTTTAACATGGGTGTTGTTAAACTTAGTAATCATATTGCATAGGATTCAAATAATAACAATATGGTGAGAAATAATATTTTTATGTAGTATTATTTAATATATTTATTAAATATATTTTTAATATATTTATATATGTTTAACATATAAAATATTTATATATTATATGTATTATATAATATATATTTATATATTATATAATACATATAATATATAAATATATTATATATTTAATATTAAATTATTTTATATATAAATATATAATATATAAATATATTAAATTATAAATATATATATTATAAATATATATATTTATATATATTTTATTTATATATATTTATATAAATTCATATATATAATATTTATATATAATATTATATAAATATTATATATATATTTATATATTTAATATATAAAAATAATATTTTTATATATTAAAACCAAGGCCAACATCTATCATGAGGAAAAATTTTACAAAATATAAATACTAGTCAGGAGGCACCCTGCTTTGCAGGCCTCCTCTCCTGGGCTGGCTCTGAATGTCTCGGGGAGACCCAGAGACAGTGCAAAGGAGCCTGGCATGGCCAGCAGGGATCAGCGTGGACAGGAGGACTGGAGTGAAAGCAGGGCCTCTGACTGAAACCCCTGCCACACAGCCCAGAGCCTGAGGACCCCAGAGAGGGTCGACTGAGGAGGTTGTGGGATGGGGGCAGGGAAACACTTCAGAGAGAGAGGATCAAGGCTTAGAGGACAGACTGAGGAAGCAAGTGCTTCACTGAGTCTTCAATCCGTGACCACGAGCTCTGTGTGTGTGTGTGCGTGTGTGTGTTTGTGTGTGTGTGTGTGTGTGTGTGTGTGTGTGTGTAATATGTGAGGCCCTCTAAAGCCTCTTTTCTGTGCCAGAACAAATAGAAACTTTAGTATTTGCAGTCGATTTATTAAAATGAACATGTATAGCAGGTTTCAACAATTGTCTTGCCGTTTGTAGTAAAAAGACATAAGAGAGAAAAGGTGTGGTTTATAGCAATCCGTAGCTGGTTTCTCACCATCCTCTGCAGTCCCATGAGCCAAAGGTCTTGTGGAAAGTTAAAAGTTATCACAAAAATGGCTGTCATATATTGCTTGCTAGAAAGCAAAAACAGAGACATCACTTAAATTTTCTGTTCTGCACTCTCCAACAAAACCTTGAAAAACAGAAACTTAACTGTTTTCCAGGGTTTTCCACAAACATCTGGCATCAGAGACAGTGAGGGCTGGAAGGAGAAGAACTGTTGATTCCGGATCATTTCCCCGCCATGGACTTTTAAAATATTTTTTCTCTGTGTTTGTTGTTCTTTGAAATAACGTTTTCAACAAATATGTGACTATATTACCTATTTTCACAGGATTGTTAAAATCTTAACTCAAATGCAAGAAAAAAAAATGTGAGTCTTTGAGTTCTTATATAACCCTCCACTGTGGAAATATTGGCAGCAGTCTGCCGCCCTCTGCCGCTACCACCGTGCTGTACCAGTAATTGGTGCGGTAGACTATGATTAGTCTATAGAAGCTTTTAAAGAAAAATATCCGGTCACCATTTACTGCAGTTGATATTTCGTTTTTAACAAATTATTAATAGTGGCAAAATGGACATCTCATAAAATTTGCCATTTTAAGTGTACGGTTCAAGAGTGTTCTGTATATTCACATGGTTGTGCGACCCAACTCTAGACTGTTTTGCACACCTGAAACTCTGGGCCCATTCAACACGACTCCCCCTTCTCCTCTGCACTCAAGCCCTGACAACCGCCACTTTTTTCACCGTCTCTGAGTTTGACTTGCCAGATGCCCAGGTGCATGTGTCATGCAACAATTGTGTTTCTGTGACTTCTTGCTTCACTCAGTGTAATGTCCTCAAGGTTCATTCATGTTGTAGAGGTGTCAGGATTTCCCAAGGTGTTGCTCACTTTCAATCTTATAGAGGTGTTTGGTATATTTCTAACTTTTCTACTGTGGAAGGATTAAAGAAGAATTTCAGCATAGGGAATAAATATTAGAGAAAACTCTCAATAACATACATGTATAATTAGAAAGAAACAAAACTATTGGTTTTTGTTTGAGACAATTCTTTCCTCCCGGATGGTTTCATACCCATGATCTACACTTGTCTGTTGAATAGTTCTTCAAGGTTTCTCATCATTTATGCTAACAAATTATAATTGCCTGGAAGTATATTTTAAATTCTTTTTATTTAAGATATATTGAATCTTGTTCAAATGTTATTTTCCAAACTCTATCCAAAAGTAGGGCATTTTAAAGAACACTTTTACAATTTTTTTTTTTTTTTTTTTTTTTTGGAAAAAGAAGAGAACTTTTCTCTGCAGATTGGTCTATAGGTGTGGGTCTTCAGGAATTTTTTTTTTCTCTAGAGAATAAACGTGTTTGTTTGTATGTGTGTGTCTGAGTGTGTCTGTGTGTTTCTGTGTTTGTGTCTGGATGTTCATATGTTTGTGTGATTGTGTCTGCGTCTGTGTCTTTGCCCGTTTGTGTTTGTGTATGTCTGACTGTGTGTGTGTTTGTGTGATTGTGTCTGCGTGTTTGCATGTGTCTGGATGTGTGCATATGTGTTTCTGTGTTTGTGTGATTGTGTCTGTGTTTATGAGCATGAACTAGAGAACTCTGGGGATAGGTAAGCCTTTCCCTGACCCTTCTTTTTCTTCTTCTCTTGGCCTACTCATTTATCATCCACTGGGGATTCTCTGAGTGGAGTGACAATCCAGGGGCCCCATATGTTTTTCTTGATGGCAAAGTCATTAGACTAACCATCCAGCTAAATTAACCAATGCAAGAAAAGGCTTGTTCACCAGTTTCTTTAGCATTGTCAGTGAGAAATAAAGAGCCCACTTGTCCCTGGTCAGCAGATTTAAAAAGAAGAAAATGAAATTACCATCAACACGCCAACATTGTCCAGAGTTTCATCAGATTGACTGAGAAAACATTGCTTCAATTCATCTATGGCATTCGCAGTGGCATCATTGTCTATGAACTCTTGAAGAAATTCTTTGTATTCAGTCTTAGATACTTTTGGATCAATTGTCTTGGAAATCACCTCCTTCATTAAGGGGCAGCCAGATCCTAGAGAGGAAGGACAAGGAAACAGGCTTAGTATGGAAGGCATGAGAGGTTTGGGGCAGACCTATTATCTTCCTCATCTTCTGACAGCCCAAGAGAATACAGACTCCAAGATAATGATGCAGAATGTAGAGTTCTCAATTCTAGGAGGAAGTCTCAGGCTCTAACATTTCCTGTAAGCCCTGCAACTTCTACCTCTCCTCTCCCCAGTTCAGAAAAACTAAGCCTCGTGAAGCTCCAGTTAATGAGAAAATTCGAGAAATAAAATACTCGGACTTGGAAGGATTCCTGAAGATTATTTGGTCTTCCTTGGTTCAAACTGAGGCAATGCTTCACTACTACCATTCAGAGCATCACAAAAGATTTCCAAGTATTTTAGGCCAGGTGCAGTGGCTCACACCTATAATCCCAGCACTTTGGGAGGCTGACGTGTGTGAATTGCCTGAGCTCAGGAGTTCAAGACCAGCCTGAGCAACATGGTGAAATCCCGTCTCTAAGAAAACTTAGTTAGGCGTGGTAGGGCGCACCTGTGGTCCCAGCTACTTGGGAAGTTGAGATGGGAGGATGGCTTGAGCCTGAGAGGTGGAAGTTACAGTGAGCTGACATGGTGCCACTGCACTCCAACCTGAGTGACCCAGTTGGAGTGGGTGACCCACTTCAACCTCAGTGATCCAAAAAAAAAAAAAAAAATACAAGCATTTCAGATGAATGGGTCTAGACAGGTGTCCCCAAAGTTTTTACACAGGGGGCCAGTTCACTGTCCCTCAGGCCATTGGAGGGCCGCCACATACTGTGCTCCTCTCACTGACCACCAGTGAAAGAGGTGCCCCTTCCTGAAGTGCGGTGGGGGGACAGATAAATGGCCTCAGGGGGCCCCATGCGGCCCACGGGCTGTAGTTTGGGGATGCCTGCTCTAGAACATTGCTCATTAGTTCTGTTGAATCTAACTGCAATAACAAAGAATGTAAAACAGAACCTCTTGTTTGTGAAGATATTGGAGGTGGCAGCTCCTGTAGAGTGTTCAAGACTTGGGTTCATGTGAGCTGGCTGTGCTCTTGGCTTGGCTGCTTTCTAATTAGCTGACTATGAGCCTGTCACCCTTCTATTCACAAAGCTGGAATCCAAACCCTACCGCACTGCCTGCACCTACCTTGTGCACCAGTGAGGCAGGGTTTGGATTCCAGCTTTGTGAATTGCACAAGGCACACTGCCTATGGGACTTATGGGTATGAGTTCTCCTCCCCGGTCTGCCTTGAGCCTGAAGGAACTGGCATAGAAAGGGCATCCCAGAAATGCTCAGATCAACTCTGAGAACACAGAGTGGGTCCCTCAGGGTGAGAGACACTGTGTCACACTCAGCAGCTGGGGCATTCTGTCCCAGGAAGTTTCCTGGTTCGTTCCGCATTCAGGGAGACTCATGACTGTTTCATTGTCTGTGGGTCCAGATGCCATGGGGCCTTCATTAGTGTGTCACTCTTGCCCCACTGAAATAAATAATTTCAATATTCATTCCTGAGACTTGCCCTGGTGTCCATGGTCACTTTGACCATAGTGGGTCACACTGAATGCAAAGAGACTCTGCGTGTACCTCCAATGCAGGGGAAAGCCCCTGAAAGACTACGAGCTTGATTGCCTGCAATGGGGATCCTAAGACCTGTTATACCTAGAGCCTTTGTACTGGGGCTGATCTCTGCTGAGAACTGGGGAGCAGGAGTTCTTCCATAGAGGCCCAAGTGACAACCCCTGGCGCTGAGGCAGCCCTCTCTGCCCAGAACTCACCTGCATAGCAGTGCAGTGGGAGGGCCGCCAGCATGAGAACCATCAGCAGCTTCATGGTGAGACAGCTGCTGTCCACGTTCCGTCACGAGTAGCAAGGATCTGGGAAGCCGCTGTGGAGGTGAGCACCCAGCCCTGCCCTATTTATCCCCCAGAGAGGCATCTTAATTCCTCCCGGGAATGAGGCGATGAGCCAATCTGGCATGGGACCAGTAAACAGGAGCATGCACCAAGGCAAGCACAGCCAGCCTGTGTGTAGAAGCTTCCAGCTGCTCCTCCTCTTTTTTGTATTCCTTCTCCACCCACTTCCCTTCCCTTTCTTCTCCATCTCTTCCTTCAAGGTGAGAATGACAGGGTCATGTCCTGTGTGTCTGTGCCTGCTTATCCCGGCAGCGGGGTTAGGTGCAGTACCGCGCACCTCCTCTAGGGGACAGGCTTTGCTCATCCACTGACCTCTCGCTTTCAGAAAGGGATGTCTGGGAAAGGTCTAACTTTTGTGGAGAAACGTAAGGCCATCCACCTTCCGCTGAAAGTTATTTTTACAAGGATTATCTCAGTGAATTAGAAATGGATTGATAACTTTATTTCTTTGGTAACTTTTTAGGGTTTTCCTTCCGCGGATTGAAAGGATGCTGTGAATTAGGAGAGTAACTGATGGGCGGGGCAGGCAGTGCTGGGCCATGGGTGGGTGGTGATGGAATGTGGAATCAGGGAGGAGGGTTTGGACTCTGGATGCAACTTGCAGTCCTGCCATGTCCTTGCTGGTCTCTCTGAGCATCCTTCCTTTTCATCACTTGAAGAAGAAAAAGAGGCAGGATGGGATAGCATGCAGAATTTGTATAAGGGCGATATTGCTTCATGGAAAGATTGTTTCACACAGCCCAGTACAAAGCAGTCACACATAAAGAGACGGCTTCATCTACGCATGTATCCATCCATCTTTAAATAACTACTGAGCATCTCCTGTGACCTGTCACTGAGCTACACACCATAAATTCAGTTACAGGCGCAGTTTAGAACAGGTTCTTGCTCTTGTGGAGCTGACTTTCCGATAAGGGAGGCAACAAGCATCCTGCCACATAAGAGAGATATGGGAAAGTAGTAATCACTGCAAAGGACACAAAATATCCACAACAGCAAAATGAAACAGATGGACTGCCGAGGGGAGGAGGCTGTGCCATTTCGGCTGACGCTTGGATGAGTGGATGACAGTGTCCAGTGACAGATTCAGGGAAGAGTGTTCCATGAAGGGGGAATGACAAGGTCAGAGAACAGAGGGAAGATGGTACTTGGCCAGATAAGGCAGGCCAGGAACGTGGCCACATGGAGCCAGGAGGGCGGGACAGCCTCACGTGACAGAAAACCCACCCCTGTTTAATTAGGGGCATGGCGAAGGTCATAGGAACAAGAAGTACAAATGTCTCGGGTGTTTTGTAAAAGAAGATCCGGATGAGAGAGCCAGAGAGATGAGTCTGTTCTTCACTTCCCGTGGATGCATTATTTGCTGTCCTGATTACTCACGACATCTTTCTTTCCATCACTCAGCTGGAGCCTAAGATACTCTCAGTTGAGAACAAAATTGGTCTGGGAAGAGGCTAGAAAAGAAGGGTTCTGCACTTTCAGGTATAGTTTCACCCAGCTGGCCACGGCTGGCATCCTTCTTCCATAAGTGCGGTGAAAAACTTTGATCAAGAAATGAGAGACCTGCCGGGCGCGGTGGCTCAAGCCTGTAATCCCAGCACTTTGGGAGGCCGAGGCGGGTGGATCACGAGGTCAAGAGATTGAGACCATCCTGGTCAACACGGTGAAACCCCGTCTCTACTAAAAATACAAAAAATTAGCTGGGCGTGGTGGCGCGTGCCTGTAATTCCAGCTACTCAGGAGGCTGAGGCAGGAGAATTGCCTGAACCCAGGAGGCGGAGGTTGCGGTGAGCCGAGATCACGCCATTGCACTCCAGCCTGGGTAACGACAGCGAAATTCTATCTCAAAAAAAAAAAAAAGAAAAAAAAAAAAAAGAAATGAGAGACCCTCTCCTTGGCCGACTGAACGGGGCTCTGCCTAGTGCCCCAGTCATTATGGACCTTCCCTGTTTCCTACAGACATAAACGCTCACCCAGTGGTATCTGGCCCATCTAAAATCAACTCCCCACACCACCTACATGGTGCCCCACCAAAGAGATGGTGTTTTCTTTCATCTGATCTGACAGTGATCATTTTCAAATGAGGCAGAAAACATACCTGGCCCAAGAGACTCACTTGCAAGCCAGCATTTGCAGGGAGAGAGGAGAACCAGGAGGTAAAAACGCTGTACTGCTCGTCCGATGTTTTCTCTTCTCCAAAGGGTCTTTTATTCAGGTCCCTAATTCAGTTCAGAAACTGGAGACCAAGGGTCCATCGGTCTTCAGTGTTTCTGTGACAAGTGTTTACTGAGCCTTTACTATGGCAAAGCAACAGGTCATTCACACATTCTCTCCAGAATGAACCTGTGTCTTGGGAGGGGGGAAAGCATGCCTTTAAAAAAAAGGCAGACATCTACTCTGGCTTTGGACTCACAAAAGAGCTGAGACATAGAGACATGTTGGCAAATAGAAGGCATTGCCGTACTTAATATGAAATAGCAACGTTGTTGGAAAGTCATCTTTTCTCAGTGATTTCTGTATTTGCACAGAAAAGCCTGGAATGGCCGACCCTGGAAGCTGCATCTCTGCTGAGTTCTGCAGCCCTTTTCCTTCACAGACCCATGGCTAATGGCTCCTGAGTGAGGACCCCAAGCCAGACCGACTGCCTGTGTTCACATCCAGGCTCTCCTGTTTGCTGAGGGTTCCACAGTGGCAGGAGACTTAACTCTTTGTGCCCCCTTCAAAACGGAATCAGTCATAGAATGGTTGTGACTCACAAGTAAAGTAAAAATGGTAAGGTACTTGAAACAGTGCCTGGTGCAGAGTCAGTGATGTCTAACTGTCAGCTGCTCAGCGTCTTTTCCTATTATTTAGAGCTGTGTTTATGATTCAACTCCTAGGACTACCAGGCTCATCACAGAACACTGGAAAATTAGTCTGCCCTTAATATTCTCCAAAATATATCAAAATAACCATAGTTCAACAAAGCAAAATCCCTTAACTTGGAAAATAAAGCACTGTGTTGTGATCCATGCTTGGGTATCTTTTCTCCCAGTCCATTTAAAAGAGTTTTTTTTTTCTTTTATTTATTGATGATACAATCAGGAAAAAAGCTGAAGACCATATATTGCAATGAGGTAATTTTGTGATTTCTGCCATCATGAGCCAGAGAGATCACTGGGGAACAAACACACAGCAAAGGGGGAAACTTACTGACCCTCACTGATAGAGGACCTCTGTCCATAGTACCGAGGAAGAGGACTGTAACAGTTTTTGCAGACTCCTCTAAATACCATAGGTAATGCCACATAAATGCATGTGATCAGAAGTGAGCCATAAGTTTTTATTACTTTAGCTGAATATCTAAAAGTTGAGTACTGGTAATTGGAAGATTACTTATCCAAATTTCTTAAAGTACTGTATTATAAATTAATGGTTCACAAGGTATGGTCCAGGTACTGCCAGTTATTTCCAAGGACCCCACAGTTATAAGGGTCAGAATTATGTAATTGAAATGTTTTTAACAGATTATTGCTTGTCATGTAGCATAAGTCAATTAGTTTTCCATAATATTTGATAGATGATTTCTATCAAAACATCTTGAGCACCAAAATAAGATCAAAACTTTTGAGAACTAGTGGATTTTTAAAGACAATTAATTAATATCACTTGAGCATCACCTAGTGGAAATTTTAAGAAATAAATGAGATTTTTCCTGTCAGTCTTTCAAACAAAGAAAACAGTTAAGTGAATTGAGTTCATTTTAAAGTCAACTCAAAACTGACACAAGAGCAGAAAATCAAACACCACATGTTCTCACTCATAGGCAGGTGTTGAACAATGAGAACACATGGACACAGGGAGGGGAGCACTACACACTGGGGTCTGCTGGGGGGAAATAGGGGAGGGAGAGTGGGGGGTGGGGAGTTGGGAGGAGACAGCATGGGGAGAAATGCCAGATATAGGTGAGGGGCAGGAAGGCAGCAAATCACACTGCCACGTGTGTACCTCTGCAACAATCTTGCATGTTCTTCACATGTACCCCAAAACCTAAAATGCAATAAAAAAAATTCTCATCAAACAATTCCAATGTCAAATGAATTTGAAGCTGGCATCTACTGATTATCTTTATTCTAGAAAATTAAATTCATTTTCCTGCTTCTTTGTATAGTGAGTACTTTTGGATTTTATCTTGAACATTTAATGTTGTGTTTTATGGATTCTGTGTTCTGTGACATCCATCATGCTGTTTTTGTTTTGGATTTTTTTGTCTTAGCAGGCATTTAGTCCAGTTGGGGAGTTGTGTAGGCTCTGCCTTTCCTTCTGTAGTTGGTGGTTTAAATCCTAATTCAATTATTTAGCTCCTTGTTGTACTGCTTCGAGACAGTCCTGTGCTTATATTGGCTCAGGTATCAGCCTGAACTTGTGTATTTGATCACATAGAAAATTAAGGGACTTCCTTCTCTGTCTCTCTCCTCTCCAGAATTCTCCCTTCACTTCTAGTAACTGCCATTAATCAGACTTCCTTTTTAGATCGGCTGGCCAGAAAGACAGAGAACTATCAAAATTTTACCCACCTACAATATGCCTCCTCTGCTACAAAAAATAAATCCACAAATCAAATCTACAATAAAAATGGAAAACTTTTGCCAGTCACTGCTCCAACTTTCATCTCCCCACTACACCCTGGCAGCTCTTTTACTCTTCGGAATTCTCTGGTAGTCATTTCCTGTATTTTATGTAGCATATAATTGTTACCAGCTAGATGGCTTGTCTGTAAGGAATTTACAATATTATTCCAGAAGTTAATTTCCAGCTTAAGTAATAAATGGACATATTTGTATTCATTGGTCACTAAGGTGTGCATTATTCAGGATGTATCCACATATGTGTATATATGCATTTTATGTACTTGGACTGTAATTGTATTAAATGCTTGTTTATTTTTCATATTCAAACCGTTTTCATGCTTTAAAAATGTTCTTCTGGGCCGGGCA